ACCACTAGCTGATTTGATTATTGATCTCTCCATTCCTTTGGGGTGACTCTGCCAAAAGGGGATAAGTTCCATTCTATCCCAATTTGTGTTGCTGTGTAAGCCCACATAGCAGCACAGAAAGTAGCTCCAATAGCTAAGACAGCATTACCATATTTGTCATGGAAATCAGGTACACGTTTCTGGTGGCTTTGTCTTACCATTATTTGCTTAATGCTTTGAACTTGAAGACGACTTACTGCGGTTTTAGCTAAGAGAAACATCATGAAGAAGTAAATGGAACTCTGGTAACTGCTGCTGCTTCTTAGGAAAAAATCCTGAAGAGTACCCTTTCAAAGACTCCTGGAAAACAAAATCTCTATGAGGACTTTTAAGACACCCTGTGGAGAGACCACAGGGAAACGAACCAACAGCTGGTTGGGTGAGCCACCTTGACAATGGACCTCCTCGTTCTAGACTGGCCACTAGGTGACTGCAGCCCACTGAAATGTCTTGTTAAAGATCTTAAGCTAAGCCCACCCAACTAAACTGCTTTCACATAAGAGACAGGATGTGATTAATGTGGTTTAAAGCCATAGTTTTGGCAGGATTTGTTAAGCATCAACAGATAAGGAATCAACGACCAACGCTGAAAAGATGGCAACGAAGACAGACAGACAGTGCTGAAGTCCCTGATAATGTCCTGGTGCCACAGATTTACTCAACCTGAAATTAGCTACTTCCTGCTATTTTATCATGCCGGGTAATTGATGTCCTTGTTCAGCCGCTGTTAGGGCTGTTACTTGCAGCCGAAAGCACCCCGATCGGTTCATCCTCTAGACAAGGGTCCCCGAGGGTTCCTGAAACATGATTTGAGATGCTTTCTATTTTGTGAGACGGAAATATTTTTTATCTTTAAAAAGAGCGACACACATTTAGATTCTCGAGGAGCCCCTCTGAAATACTGGTCACGAAAAATAATCTCAAGTGAGTCTTATTAGAGCACATGGGGCTAGCAACCAATTGAGTTGTGACTGGTCAACTAACAACTTTTTCTTTCTTTACGTTTTGTTTTAACCTAAGTTTGCTCATCCCATACATGCATTTCCCCCATAGCCTTCTACTGCTCAAAATCACACCGCCCTCTGGTGATAGGGAGTCAGAGTCCTCCGGAAAGCTCTCTCTTCATGGTCCCGGGAAGCAATGTCAGGAGCAGGCATACTCGGGACAGAAGAAAGTCAGTCCTGGCAGCTCCTTCAGTTCTAAACACTTCTGGTTGGAGGGAAGCAGGGAAAGAGTAAGGGGTTGGGGACTTAACTCTAAGGTGGGCTGCACAAAATGATCCAAGGCATCTGTTCTTCCTTCCCTTTCTTCTCTAACAGGGACCCTTGTCAGTCAGGCCTGGGGAGGGAAGGGAAAGGGTGCAGTTGGTTCTAGAACTACACATGGCCTCCAAACCATTCTCCAGAGTTAATAACAAGCCCTGGGGGGTGTCTAGCCCGGGACTGCAGAGCCACACCTGCCTCTCCCTAACAAACAAGTGACTGGATGTGCATGCGTTTTTTTAACTTTTGAAAAAGAATAGTGACCTGTGTGAATGTTTACAAAGTTCTTTAGTTTCCATTCAAGAATTTATTGCACATTTTATTTCATAGCATTAGTTATAATTTCCTCAGTATAAACAACACCCTTCCCATTCCCTCCCTGGGTTCCCATATTCATTTGACCTGCGTTTCTGCGCCTTCCTACCTTTTGAGTTTTGTTTTGGAGAAAACCTACCCTTTTGGTCTTGTTTGGTAATTGTCCTGAGGCACACATTTCATTGAGTGCTGTTGTGCACTATACAGGCTGCATCTTGTAAACGTGCATCTACACTTCCCATGACAATAAACACCTTTCAGGTCAGTGCTGACCAACGTCGCATCAAGGATTGTGTCCATTGAACAGGGCCATCAGCTCTGTTTTGCTCAGCCCTCTGTGATTGGAACTCTAGAATGTTGCTACTTTACAAAAAATATTACAAAGCCCATCTACTTCTAAGATAAATGCCTTTTCAAAAATGTTTTGCCTCAATTTGTGGAAATTGCAGAATCTACAGTGCCAGCCAGTCTGGGTCTTGCCATGGCTGGGCAAGCAGTGAAAGACTTGCAAACCAGCACAAAGGACATTCACTGCAATCCCAAAGACACATGGTTCGAGGCCACCAGCTGCTCTGCGGGAGAAGGATGGACAAACTCCTGCTGTGTGATTAACTGCTTCTGAAAACCTGCTGGAGGGTCAGGTATGGGTTGGCTCCGACCCAGTGGTACACAGGACAGCTCAGCCCCTTCCCGTTTTCACCTCTGACAACCGTGCTGAAGACCGCGAGCAGAAGTTGTCTCACTCCATTGATGCTTTCCTCCCTCAAGAACGGTGTCCCCTAGCACAGACTTACCTGTTCTCTGTCAAGTAAAGCTTTATGGTTTTACTTCCACTTGGCCAGTTGGGCCAGTTTTTTCTACTCTGTGATTTCTGGGGGGAAAAAACTAATGATATGTTCCTCCCAGGCCCCTCATGTAGGTTGCAGCCAGAAACCTGCCTTAGAGGAGCTTGTAGTAGAGTTGAGAAATAGACAAACATACAAACTCAGATGCACCTTCTAAGACTGCCTCACCCTCTTACCACTATGACCAGCAAGGCTTTGAATGAAGAAACAGGTCCAGAGAGAGAAAGGGTTCTGCTGGCATTTCCTAGCATTGGGTGAGAATCTCAGCTTCCTGTTGTTGTTGTTGTTGTTTATGTGCCATTGAGTCACCTGCTCAGCTTCCTAGCTGCCCATTAATGACTCTGTGGTGGCTTCTATTCTCAAGATGCCTCTGGGGAAAGGCCTCTACATCTCAGTTCCCCAGGAGGTCAAATCCTTGGGTCTCTAAGGGGAGGGAGTCTATGCTTGGAACGCAAGGAGCCTGGGGGCAGTTGGTCAGTTTCCAGCCTCCAAGGAGCCTTTCCCTTGCAGTTTTGTTAGTTGAACAATGACGTGCATCCTCTCTTCCGCCCCCAGTGAAGCATCTAGTCTAGGACCCTGAGTTATAAGTTATTATCTTGTTTCTTTTGTTTTCTTTAATCTGAACCTGTCCTTCAGTCTCTCTCAGTCTTTTATGACTTTGACATTTTCTAATAATGCAGTAGCATTTTTTTAAAAGGTGTACTTCATTTGGGGTTCGTGTGGTGTCTCCTCATTGCTCAATTCAGATTATGCATCCTCTGTTAGAATGTTGTGTAGATGATGGTGCGAACTTCTCAGGACCCCACTTTCCAGGGGCACACACAGCCCATCTGCCCGTCGTTGGTGGCTTAATGTAATCACCCCATCAAGATGTTGCCTGACCTCTCTACTGTAGAGTTACTCTGTTTGGCTCTTGCTACTAACAAAAAAAGAAGTCCTAGTAGTGCAATAGTTAAGTGCAAATCTGCTAACTGAATGGCCAACGGTTCAATCCCACCAGTTTCTTGTAAGGAGAAAAGACCTGATGCTCTGCTTCCATAAAGATTAAACCAACACAACCTCTTTGCTCTTGAATTAGAACTAACCCATAGCAGACTCTCTAGCAGGTTTTCAGAGGCTGATAGCACAGGAGGAGATTGCCCCTCATTCTCCCATGGAGCAGCCGGCGGATTCAAACTGCCACAGAGAAGCTGCATTTGGCTTTGCAGAGCAACTCCCTGCAGACCACTCCTCCAGAACTCCCTCTGCATAAGGTCATAGGCTAGCAAATCCTTTGGGTCAGTTCTACTGGGTTCTATAGTCAGATTCAATGAATCAGGCATTATGTAAGTCAGAATTAGCTAGACAGCCTACAAGAGCAAAAACAATGAATGAACAATGTATAAAGAGAGGCTATGAGGCATTGGCGGTTCAGTGGCAGAATTCCTGTCTTCCATATGAGAGACCTGGGCTCCATTCCTGGCTGATGTACCTTATTGGCAGCCACCACCGGTCTGTCATCAGTGGAAGCCTGTGTCTTGAACAGGTTTCAGTGAAACTTCCTGAAGAAAAGAGACTAGGAAGAAAGGCCTGAAGGTCTACTTCTGAAAGCCAATCAATGGAAATCTTACAGATCACATGTTGATTGTTGTTATTATGTGCCATTGAATTGACTACAACTCGTAGCGACCCTATAAACAGTGGCTCTGAACCCTGACTTATCCTGAGCCAACCTCACCATCCCTGACACACCTGACCCCATTGCCACAGTCACTGTGTCAATGCATCTCATCCAGGTCTTCCTCTCCTGTCCTGACCCTCTATCCTTCCAAGGATGATGACCTTCTGCTACATCCATTGACTATAGGATGGCTCGATGTTTGTTCCCTTGGCAACCATCTAGATTGTAGGATAGCTCAATGTTTGTCCCATTGTGAATAGAGGTGCCACCAGTCAGATGCAGACTCAGTGACCACCACTATCAACAAAGATGCTCTAATCAGACCAGTATCCTGCTCCTTATAAAAAATATATATTCCCGTGGGTGTGGTGTCTGTTAATGGGTTTTGCTCACAAGCTCTTGCTTTCTCCAGAGGCGACAGATGCCACCTATCCCAGTGTTGCTCTCTGGGCTGGCCCCAGCCTACAGGATTGGACCTGGGTTCAAGTTCTTTGTGCACAGTCCATCTTTTGTGTGGGTGGCCAGACTCCCCCACAAGGAGCAGGCCTCTGGGCGTCATCTCGTTTCCTGTCTTGTCAAACTCTTTATTCTCACTGTAGCCACTGACTAGATCAAGTGGACCACCGAGCCGTCCAGCCACCCAGCTGCAGGGGAGCTTTGCACCCTAACAGACTCAGATGGTGAAATCCCACTGGTGAGGCTGCCGTGGGCTTGTGGGCTCGACAGGAACCTGAGATAAGATACCCAGCAGTTAGGGCAGCTGCTTTGAGGTTGGGAGGCTAGGAGGCCACAGGAAGTGACTCTCTGCAGAGCTGGTGCGTCCTCACACCAGCGTCCACCACCCCAGGACAGGAGCTGCAGCCTGACGTGGGCGTGGGGATGTCCACCAGGGGTCTGGAGCCTGGGCTCAAGCAACTGGGCAGACATTATGGGACTTTGGCCTCAGGCCAACATTCCCCTGTGACCACACCCGCCCCCTGGGGCCTGCCCCGCTGGAGAGCGTACATCGCAGCTGCTGTGCTCTGCTACATCAACCTCCTGAACTACATGAACTGGTTCATCATTGCAGGTGAGGAGAGGGACGGCTACCCTGGGCAGTTGGCCAGCCTCCAGCTGGTGGCTGCATATCCCACAGTGACCTTCCATCTAGTGTCCTTTCTCCTCTTGCAGAATTCTCTCTAGGCTTCTCATCTCAAGGGTGGTTTTCAGGAGGGTGTGTGGCTGTGATGGCAGGAGGCATGATGGGGTACGAGTGAGGAGAGACAACAGAGAGAAAAGGGTCTTACAGGCAAAGGCCTTGAGGTGTTGGGGGGATGTGCCAGGGTGAGGGTGTGGAGGAAGGGCAGCCTGGCCCACCTCCCAGGTGAAGAGAACTCTGGGTCCACCTGCTGTTCCAAACCCTGCCCCCCTTCTTATAGGTCCCAGGACTCCATCTGTTCCTGTCTTCTCAGCACTCACTCATCCATTCACTCAAGCTGTTTTTCTCTCACCACTCATTCATTCGTTCAAGATCAACCAAAGCGCCAGCTGTTTTTCTCTCTTCCTGTCAATCATTCGTTCATTCAGTCTTTAACGATTGACTGAACGCTAACTCTGGACAGGACCCTCTGGTGGGCCCTGGGGACCCTGGGGAGTGAGGAGTTGTATTTGTGTTCCTGCTTGACCTCAGGAATGATCATTCCTCAGGGCTGGGGGAGAAGTTCATTCAGGAACCCTGCAGGGCAGAAAGCTCCGGTCAGAGTCAAGAGGCTGGGCCAGAGGAAGCGCGAGATGTAGGCAGTAGCCCACTTCTCTGTGGTCAGGACGTCAGTTTTGGTAATGTTGGTTACCAGCTCTGCATGTTGCATAGTGACTGTAAATATATGAAGTGGGTGCTGCCAGACTTGGTTTTTGTCTTTGAGATGCTCTGGGGGACCTATCTCTGACAGAGGATGGAGCGGGCTGAGTGTCAAGCAGAGTCTGAGGACAAATGACCAGGGGGTCAGGCAGAGCTGACAGAGGCAGTATATTTTGTCCTCGATAGCTGATAAGATTGGAAAGGCAGAGAACAAGGGGAGGGAGGGCATTCAGACAGAGGGAATGGCCTATACCCGGGGCAAATGGGGTCAGCGTGCATGTTCTGATCAGAGATGGAGAGAGAAGATAAAAGAGAAAATTATTCAAAAGAGAGTATTTGGGGTCAGATCATCAGCTTCTTGGATAGGAGGCTGGCTGCTTGGTTTTCCTCCTGTGGGCAATGAGGAGCCATAGAGACTTTTTGTTTTAAGTGGAGGGATAGTCTCAGATTTAAGGCCCTGACAGAAGCAGCATGAGGCTGAGTGGTCAGCTCAGAGACTTAGCCCAGAATCAGGGGGCCAGAGCAGAAGAGTGGGCGAGGGCACAGAGAGGAGGAAGGAGGCAGATGGGTGCTGGGGGATATCATGGGGAGGTCCCATTGCCCCTGGCACTCTCCCTGGAAGGCCCCTGCCTGGGTTCTGCTTAGTGGAAGCCCCTCCCTTCACTTCCCCTGGTTGTGGAAAAATAAAGAAGTGAAACCGCGCAGAGTCTTGGCAACAGTGTGGGGTCAAGGCTCATGAGAAGAATGGCTAAATCTCCCTTACAGCCTCTTTGGGGTGCTAGAAATCATATTTTTAAAAAAGATTTTTTGTTGATTTTCATATAATAATACCTTTATAGTGTGTTTCATTCATAGAAATTTTGTTCTATACAATCTCATTTACATTGAATTTTATACACTCTTTCATTTACATTGAGTTTCATACAATCTTTCATTTACATTATGTTTCATGCAATCATTCATATATATTCTATTTTATATTTTTTTATGCTAGGTTATTTATAAAATTAGAATATATTATTTTTCTACACCAGATCCTTCCCATTTCCCTCACCCCCACACCCATCAAATTGTGTGACCCCATGATTAATCCTCTCCCCCCATCCTTGGGGTGCTAGAAATTCTTGGCAATATGAAAACAAGGCTGTGTACACCTCTGATCTTGGGCCAATCCCAGAGAGACACAGGACTGAGAGGAGCCCTGGAGGAGAGAAAAATGAGATTCCCATTGCTAAAAAAAAAAGGAGTGCAACTGTAAAGAATTTTTTAGTTAGTGATTTATTTTCTCACCTGTTGCCTCAGTTATGAAGTGCTGTTGTAACAGAGGTATAAGTGGATAGCTTTAACAAAGTTTATCCTCTTGTAATACAGGAAGTAAGAAGTCTGGATTCGATGCACCAACTCTAGGGGAAGGTTTCCTCTCTCCATCAGCCCTGGAGGAAAGTCCTTATTTCCTTTGAATGTCTGTGGTCCTGGTTTCCCAAGAGCTCCTTATGTGTTGGAATCAATCTCCCTTTGGGCTAAGAGTTCTCAGCACAGGGACCTTGCATCCAAAGCATGTGCTTTGTCTCTGACTCTTCTTTTAATGTAGTGAGAAGAGTCAGCTAAGTTAACATGTTTTTTGTTGTTGTTGTTGTTGTTGCAATTGAATCCATGCCATTCTACTCCTTGATCTCCCCAAATTCATATTTTTGCCCCATGCAAATTACTTTCTCCCATCCAAAAGCCTTCAATCAACTTCAGATATAAATTCTGTTTTGGGACCACATTCCCCTTTGTCTCTGAATCTAGAATAACAAATTACTTGCTTTGAAGCACAATGGTGCAACGGGCACTACTAGGTGGACAGGTCCATTAAAAAGGGGATAAATTGGAGAGAACGAAAGAGCAGTGGACACCAAGCAAGTAAAAAGCCTAGAACAACTCACATTAGCTGTGGAGGCTGAAAAGAACCTTACTTCCTCTAGCTCATCTGAGCACCCACCCTGACCTCCACACTACGAAGTGTCGCCCTTGTTCTCTGGACCCTGAGTGACAGATAAATCCTTGGCCCTGGGCTTCTGTGTTATTTCCAAGTTCACTGGTTTGTCCATTCTGCTCCCTTAGCTTTGGGTGGCTCCATTATCCTAGTCTGACTGAGAGGCAAGTCCACTCTCTTGGCCCTCACAGGCCTTCTGACCCTCCAGCATGGCAGTCTTGCCTTCTCAGCTTTGAGCATACACATGCATCTGACAGTTTGAATGGCAGCTCCACCCTAAGTCCCAGAGGTCATGGCTTGGCCTGTGAGACAGAGGCAAATCTGCTTCTCATTCCTGTCTCTTCAGCTTCTATTTCCCAGTTCCTTGGTCTCTTGAAGAGCTGGCTTGGGGGCCAGGGGGCAGGGAGAAAAAAAAAAAAAAAAGAACTGGCTTGGCCTTTGCTCTGCTTGAGCAAGTGTCACAAAGCCCACACTGCCAGCAACTTCTTTTCTGAAGGCACTCAGCTCTCCCTTTCCATGCTGTCCCAGGTCAGTCTGTTGTTTCAGTTTCTCTGCCATACTTCTTACTGTCTGCGGTACCTCCATGGTTAGAGCTCTCTTCACTCCCTCCTGAGTTCTCACCAGAATTGCCTTTGCTGTTTGTAATTCTACCAATGTCTCTTCAAAATAGACTAAGCTTTGATTATTCACTCATTAATTCATTGCTGTCAAGTTGGGACAGACTCATAGCTGGCCCTCCAGTGGACTTTCTGAAGCTGCAAACTCCAGTGGATGGCTGGTGGATTAAAAAAACCAGAGAGGCTCGACCTTTGGCTTAGCAGTGTCATCCCCTTTGGACTACTCCACTTTTAGTATTGTTGCTTTTGTTATTGGGTGCCATCAAATCGACTACAACTCATAGTGACCCTATGAAGAACAGATCAGAGCCCTGTCCTATCCTGTGCCATTCTTGTCCTCTCTGATGTACTTGAGCCCATTGCTCCAATCACTGTGCCAATCCATTTAATTGAGGATCTCCTTCTCCTTCTCTGATCCTCCACCTTTCTAAGCACGATGTCCCTTTCCAAGAAATAGCCTCTCCTAAAAAATGACCAAAGTATGTGAGACGAAGCTGTGCCACCCTTGCTTGCTCCTAAGGACCCTGGTTTCACTTTCTTCAAGACATATCTGTTTGGTTGGTTTTTGTTGTGGGTTGGTGGGTTGTTTTTGTTTTTTTGCTTGTTTTGTTTTTCTTGTTTTTCTTTTTTTTTACTCTGTAAGCTATTCAGTACTCTTCTCTAATACCACAGCTCAAAAGCTTTGATTCTTAGTCTGTCATTCTTATTCATTGTCCAACTCTCAGATGCATAGTAAGTGACTGAAAAGACCATGGCCTGAATCAGGCACACACCTTGTTCTTTAAACTTCTCTTCTTCATACTTGGGAGAAAACCTTTACAGCAGATTTACCCAATGCAGCATGTCTTTTGATTTCTTGACTGCTGGTACCAAGGATTTGAGATCCAAGTAAGATTAAGTTGTTGACAATTTTAATTTTTTCTCCATCTATCATAAAATTTCCTCTTGGCCCAGAGGTGATGTGATTTTTGTCTTCTTAATGTTGAGATGTAATCCAGATTGAAGGCTGTAGTTTTTTATCTTCTGCAGCAAGTACTTCAAGCCCTCCTCACTTCCAGTAAGCAAGATTGTGTTGTTTGCATTACACAGATTGTTGATGAATCTTCCTCCAACATTTCCAGCTTTTACTCATTACCCAATCCCATAACCGTTTACATATTTTAGTATCTATTAGAGCAGCATCCCACTCGCTCAGGACCAAATTAATTCTTAGTTACTTAGTGTTGCTTATACAGGAAACCACAAGTGGATGACTTAAGTAAACAGAAATGTATTTGCTCACAGATTAGGAAGATGGAAGTCCAAATTAAGAGTGCCAGTTTTAGGGGAGGCTTTCTCTTTCTAGAGGAAAATCCTAATTTCCTTTCAATATCTGTGGGCCTAGCATTCCTCAGAGCTCTCATGGTGTTGGCATCAATATTTTCCTAGGTCTAGGAGGTTCTCAGCACAGGCTTCCTGGGTCCAGAAGATGTGCTCTGCTCCTGGCTCTTTTTCATTTCTTGGTATTATTGAGGTCCCTATCTCTCCTCACTTCTCTCTCCTTTTATGCTTTGCGATATATTAAATCAAGGCTATGACTAGAGTAAGGATATGGCATCTCACTCTAATTTTCTTAAAAGTGATTGGCTTTTGAAGATAATTATACAGAAGATATCATTAAATAACTGCCAAACTCTATGAACTTGGATAAAGGATGATAGTTATGGAAAGGCATTAGGTTTTCTGTTCATCGAATCACTATGAGTCATACTCGACTCAATGGCAATCAATAACAACCACCAATAAGAATCATGGCCCGCACAGTGCCACTGTTGTAGAATGGGGCTGACATCAGGGTTGGGGTAAAACTGAGAAAAACTGGATAAATTATGCATACTGCATTGAAACAGATGAGAGAGAGAACAGATTAAAAGCAATATATTATAGGGTATTATGATTATCATAAGAGTCTGGAATGAAGGTTCCATAGTGGAGTGTACCCGGGGTGGGGGGATTGTATACCAATAAAGGAATTTTTCTTTTACTTTTCAAAGAGAAGAGTGAACTGGGGTCGGGGAGGGGAGAGGCAGGGAGAAAAGTGCAACAATTAATTAATGGAAATCCAAAATCTCTGTAAATGTTCATTAAAATGAATAAAAAAAATAATGGCCTGGTGAAATTAATACACATTTCTGGGAAACACAATTGAGCTGATGACACTTGTGTTGCCTATTTTGTATTTTCAAATAATGTTTCTTATTTTATAATTAAGACATTAGAAGAGGGGAAAATACACTGGTTTATATACACAAGTGCTGTGGCAATGGGGCTCAGATGAAATGTCTTAGCAAAAAAAAAAACCACAACAAAACCCTCTTATTTTACTTCTCTGATTCTTTTGCTTTTCCAGAAAGTCCAATTTTTATTTGAGTGAAAGTTTATGCATCATACTGGGTTTTAATGCATTCATAATTTTTTTGTTTTATAACAGTAATCACCATTGATTAATGTGATTGATTAATTAATTACCATGTCTAATCAAGTCCTTATTGTGTGTTACGTTTCCCTTCACTTGTTCTGATTCTTTGTTTTCTTCTCCACTGTGTGGATGTTTCTTTAGTACCCCTTTTTGGGGACTTCTGCTCCTCTCCATAAGCCCAGGGAGGAAGATGGCATGCCTCCAGTTGGAATGTAAGTTCCAGTTCTCCCAATTCCTTGAACAGCCTCTGTTTCCTCATCTGTGTAATGGGAACAGTGATAGACTTATCCTTTTAGAGTATCACTTTCTTTTTTAAAAAATTAATTTTAATGAAAATTTACCAAGATTTTTTTATTTCCATTCAGTCATTGATGCACTTTTCTCCCTGCCCACCCCTCCCCTCCAGTTCACTCTTCTCTTATAAAAGAAAAATTCTTTCATTGTTATACAATCCCTCCTCTAAGTCCACTCCACTATGTAGCCTTCATTCTGGACTTATGTCATGACAATAATACCTAATCACATATCCCTTTTAAAAAGTTTTCTCCCTCATCTGTTTCAATGCAGTATACATAATTTATCCCACCTTTCCCAGTCTTTCCCCAACCCCTGTCAGTCTCGTTTTACAACAGTGGCACTATGCAGTATTTTTCCTATTGTGACTGAGATATTTCACTCAGCATAATATCCTCCAGGGTCATCCATTTTGAATAATATTTCATGAGTTCCTTGTTTTTCAATGCAGCGTAGTAGTCCATTGTGTAAATATACCACAGCTTCTCTAATCCATTCATTTGTTGCTGGGCCCTTAGATTGTTTCCAACTCTTTGCTATTTTGAACAAAGCCGTGATAAACATGGGTGTGCATATTTTTGCTTGAGTGGTGGTTATGGTTTCTTTGAGGTATATTCCAAGTAGTGGAATTGCTGGGTCAAATGGTAT